CGGGTTGTGATCCGAAGAAATGGAATTTCTTGAGCTCTCCAAGCATACCGAGGAAAAGTGGACTTCCAAAGCATGTGGCATTCATGTCAGAACAATTCTGGGGGAGCTAGAGAAACAACCCCAAACTGAAGGACGAGAGAATATCTAGGCAACAAATTGCTAAATTTTAAATATCTGAAGAATTTGTTTAATTTTTTATATGAATTAGCTTGGTCTCCATGGTGTCATGGGTAGAGGAAAATCACTTACAGATACGCTAAGAAGTGACAAGAATTGACTGTGGCCGTGCTTTCCTGAAGAATCTCTATCTACACCTGTCACAGTGGGAAGATCTGCTACTATTCCCATGGATTCTCCCAGGAAAGTTACTGTTAGGTCTCAACCTCAGGACAAATGTGTCTGTTTAATCTACGAAAGCAGACTCTGCCACCAGGCTCTCAGAATCACAAGCGCCTGTTACTGAGTCATTCCGGCTGACACACCCCACCTCCTGCCCTAAACTTCTCCAGTCTCTGAGCCCTTCCCTTCCCCCAGGTTCTCTGACTCCTATATAACTCAACCATTTTAGCTATGTACTCTCTTGGTTCCCAGGTGATCTCTTTGCTCCCTCTCTTTTTTCTTCCCCTCTTGCTCCCTCCCCCAATAGTCTCCTCTCATGGCCTGGTTCAGTCTGTACCTCTCCAGATGCCTCTGGCTGTATTCTCCCTCATATCTACAATGAACTGTCTCCCCACCATCCCTAGGAGATGTCATGTCCTCCTTCCTTCATTCATTCACCTTTTCTAAAATTCCACCTGCTGTGCTGCTCATACTCTCCATCTGGAAAAGGCTTAATAACTCTCCTGAATAACCAGAATAATAGAGAACATGGAGGAATAAAACAGAATCATTTGATTCTTGCAAACCCAAGTCAGCATACTCACTCACGTGAAACAGCCTCAATTGTTGACAGACCTTTCTAAGGGCAGAACTGTGTCCTCCTTGTGTCCCAGTGGCACTTTGAAACACTAATTCCCAGTGTTTGGAAACAGAACCTTGAAAAGGTGATGAATTTAAATAGAGCCATTGTGGTGAGTTCTAATGCAGTTTATTGCTCTCCTCAAATGAAATGTGGACCCGCAAACGCAGGGGTGTGCATTCTCATAGAAGAGACACGTGAGAACATTGTGGGAAGGCAGCCATTGCCAGCCTAGGACAGATGCCTAGGGAGAAAGCAAGTGTGGCCCATAGTCTGAGAACTATGAAAATTTATGCTAGACACTTTTCAGTGCAATGTCTCATTTAACTTCATGTGCCCTGAGGTGTGCCTTTCTTTCCCTACCGTCAATTTCCAGCTACCAGATGCCACTACAAGGCAGCTGTGATCACAGGGGTATTAGCTACCTGGGCATGGGAACACGTTCATGAGAACTATGGTGCATCTCAAACCAAGGCCAGTAGGGTTTGAAGGTTTGTCATGGTGTGGATTTAAGGCGGAAGGAATTGGGCAAGTTCTGGGCAGAGACATAATTTGTGATAAGGAGGGAGCTTGGAATAGTTAGAAGTCACATTTGCAAATGATAGGTGTCCTTTGCAATCACCGGTTTTTCTTGAACAAAAGGTAAAGGAGCTGCTACTAAAAGCTTGTCTTACAAATGCAGATCTTTTGAGCTTAGGCAGTCTTGCAAGCCAAGACTTGGCGTGACTTGAATTTTACATTCTGGGAACAGTTTTGCAACTTGTGGCCTCTGTTTCATTTCTTACTCCTTTAAAAGTTCTCTGTGTGTTCCTCAGTGACCTGACTGGTTGATAGAGAGCAGTGCACACTCCATTAGTACATGGGAAACAGCTTACCTTCTAGGTGTCTCCAAAATTTCTCAGCTGTTTATAAAACACCACAAGCCTAAGATTAAAAGGAGGCCATCTAACTTCAGAAAAACTAACGACCTAATACATTCAGCTGACAAATCTGTGTTTTCATGTAAACTGAAACCCAAACAGTAAAGTTAAGTAGCAGTTTAGCTCAAAAGTTTGATGTGAGCTATAGAGAGCAAAGCTTAACTAAGTCCCCATCACCCTGGCTAGTTAGTCATTTTGGACAAATTTATACCTTTGGGTCAAGTTAACATAATAGTACATAGCTCATAGGGTTATTGTGAGATTTAAATAGCAAATAAGGTGTAGTTAAGTGAAGGTGCACAACAGACAACAATTGACCCTAAAAGTTGGTGGCTTAACATCATGGAGCCTTCATCCAGTAGCTGATGGAAGCAGAAGCAGACACCCACAGATGGGCACTGAGCTGAACTTCTAGAGTCCAGTTGCGAAGAGGCGGGAATGATGAGCAAAGGGGTCAAGATCAGGCTGGAGAAACACACAGAGGCAGCTGACCTGAACAAGGTAGAGCTCATGGGTCCCAGACTGATAGCTGGGAAACCAGCATAGGACTGACCCAGACCCCCTGAATGAGAGTGTCAGTTAGGAGGCCTGGGCAATCTATGGGACCTCTGGCAGTGGATCAGTATTTATCCCTAGTGTAGGAATGGAATCTGGGAGCCTATTCCGCATAGAGGGATGCTCTCTCAGCCTAGACACACGGGGGAGGGCCTAGGCCCTGCTCCAAATGATAATACAGACTTTGAAGATCCCCCCCATGGAAGGCCTCACCCTCCCTGGAGAGCAGAAAGGGGATGAGATAGGGGCTGGTGATGGGCAGGGGAGGAGGGGAGAGAGAGGGAACTGGGACTGACATAGAAAACAAGCTTGTTCCTAATTTACGTAAAAAAGTAAAAGAAAAGAAAAACGAGTTGGTGGCTTAAAATAGCAGTTTTATTTGGCATGTAATCTTTCAGGTCAGGAGTCCAGCAAGGAATTACCTGAGTATTCACAACCTGATACCTCAGGGGTTGGAGACTCCACATCCAAGATGGCTCACTTCTGTACATGACATACAGGTGCTAGCTGTCAGCAGGGAGATCACCAACTTTCAGCTGGAGGCCTGGCATCGTCTCCACAGGTCTACTCAGATTCCCAGCTTACTAGCTCCCAAGAGAACCTGAGCAGAAGCTGGCGGCCTTCTTGTAACATAGCCCTAGCTCCCAGAGTCCCTCCTCACTGCTGTCTACCAGTGAAGCATGTCACAAAAGCCCCCAGAGATTCAAGGGGCTAAGAATTAATCTCTGCTTTTCCCTAAGAAAAATGCTGTGTCTAAACTCAAACCCCACTTCTGAAGTGATTACCACGGTGACCACCACATTCTGTAAACTACTGCCCCCACTGGCTTTTACTGGAAAGGACACAGAACAAAAGGCAGTTTTGTGTCTTAAATTGGCATCAGAAAATCAAGTAAGAGCCAGTGGTTGGAAAGGACCATAATGAAAGTGTCCTCTGGACATGACAGGACCACTGCACTTACAAACTCAGGACAGCAGTGATTGCCTGCACAAGACCAAGCCTGTCAGCATTCTAACACAGGCAGGGAAAGAGTTCACAAGCCTCTAGGCCCAGCTGAGGGTTTAGTCACAGTTATCGACTTCTGGGGAATAGTCAGTTTTCTTTAAGGGTGTGGCCCCTGGTAGGTCACCCACATTGGATTGGATGACCCCACACCCAGGGTATGTCTGTGCAGCACTAATTGAACTACAATTGTTTTATACAAGAGGGCATGAAGTAGGGAAGAGGTGAAAGATGGTGATTATAGGAAGAATTAGGGGGAAGATCAAAACACACACACATACACACACACACACACACACACACACACACAGACAGCATGAAACAGTACTATTGCTGTGATAAAACTGATCCGCTGGTTCTTAGGCCTCTGGAAATGGTTTGTGGAACAGTTTGGAACTGGAAGCTAGAGACTCTCTAGTGATATTAAGAACAGCTAATAGGTAGAGTTTGTAGTGGGCCTTTCAAGGACCAGAATGCTGGCAGGGAGGAATGTAGACATTAAAGCCTGTGCTCATGAGGTGTCACAAGGTAGCAAGGACTCTATCAAGAACTGAACTGGGACCATTCATGTTCTGACATACATAATACATACGTACATACCTACGTACATACGTACGTGCATACATACATAGAGATTCATACAGAGAGACATCTGACTACATTCCGCATATGTCCAGCAAATTTGAGTGAGGCTGAATTCCAAACCGATGGACTAATTTATCTGGCAGTAGAAATTTCAAGACAGATTAGCTTATCCTTGGCATGGTTACTGTTCACTCTTGCCCAGATTACAGTAAGAGCAGGTAACAGAACAGAAGATGGTATGCTGGCCAGTTTTATGTCAACTTGACACAAGCTAGAATCATCTAGGGAGAGGGAATCTCAACTGAGAAAATGCCTCCATAAGATCTGACTATAGGCAAACCTGTAGAGCATTTTCTGATTAGTGATTGATGGCCAGCTTACTGTAGGCTGATGAGGGAAGTCCTTCTGTGTGTATTTTTCTCTTATTGGTTAATGAATAAAACACTGATTGGTTGATTGGCCAGGCAGGAAGTGATATAGCTGGGCAGAATCAGTATATAAGCAGGAACAAACAGGAAACTACTCTCTTCTCTTCTCTGCAGAGACGCTGAGCAGAAGCAATGTATACCCCAACGGAGAAAGAGGCCCAGACCTTTTCTCCAGTAAGACCACATGGAAATACTTAGATTACTAGAAATGGGTTAATATAGACAGAGATAACCAATAAGAAACCACAGTCAAAGGCCAACAGTTCCATAATTAATATAGCATCTGTGTGTTTCTTTGGGGCAGAGAAGGGAGGCGGACCTAGCTGGGCCAAGAAAACATCACATTACAGTGGGTGGTGCCATCTCTGGGATGGTGGTCCTGGTTCTACAAAAAAGCAGGCTGAGCAAGCCACGAGGAGTAAGCCAGTATGCATAACTCTTCTGTCAGCTGTTGCCTCTGGGTTGCCTCCTTGTTTGAGTTCCTGCCCTGACTTCCTGTGATGATGAACAGTGATGTGGAAGTGTAAGCTAAGCAAACCCTTTCCTCCCCAGGTTGCTTCAGTCATGGTGTTTCATCAGAGCATGGACAGCTGTTTGAACATGCAGTTTGGTGAAGAAAGGAATGTGGACGCTTAGAAGTTGAGGACAAGACAGGTATGGACTAAGCAGCTGCAATTGTTGAAGGGATTGCTGCTAATGAGGAGAAATAAGAGTTTGTTCTGGGACAGTAGTAATCCATGATACCCATTTTGCAGGTTTAATAAACACAAGACTTACGAGTTATGATAGGGGTCATTGAAGTTTGTACAAAGGTTCCAGGAAGAAGCAGATGAAGCCAGGCCACATGGTCAGGGAATGAACGTGTCGTCAAACTGCCTTACAAACATTCACGTTTAAACCCATACCTTTGTGTGGCTTTAATCCTTGGACAGTTTCTTTGTGCAGGGGGCAGCATTAAATGCCGATGATCCAAACTGCTCAAAGTGTTGAGAGGAAGTAACTGTGGGTGTGAAGCTGTGGCTAAATCTATATGAACCTCCCGCTTCGCAGTTCAAGGAACATCTCCAGCAAGGGGTGGAGATGCTGTAAGAGGTGGATGACAGGGACAAAGCTCTGAAACACGGTCTTCTGTACACAGCAGGACATGTGGGCACCAACTGCAACTGTGGTTACCTGCACAAAACCTTCCCAAGGTCAAGCAACATGCCAGCAGGCAATACATGGTGGATTTGTGAAAAAAGGAGAGGACAGAAAAGTGGGAGGGCAACATTGGGGACTTCAGTGGGACTGAGAGGATAGGGATAGGGGTAGATATGATCAAGATGATCAACATATACAAGCACAAAATTATCACAGATAAATAAAAATATTCAAAAAGTAACTTATATCCAAATAGAAATAACCACGACTTCCAAAGAGAGTAGGATTTATTATAAAACTTAACAATAAATGAAAGCTAAACAGTATTGGAAGTAGATAGTTGCAATTTAAACCACAATCCTATGTAACAGAAAAGATCCAGAAACTAATTTGAATAGGAAACTTTATGTGTAGGTGCAAAATCACTGTTAACACTGTATTAAAAATATGTGTAAGTCATTAAAATAAAGAAGGCACCTTAGGAATGACTGGGGAAAGGAAACTGGCCTTCCATTCATATTTATTTAAAGACACTGCAAAGTTTACTGGGCTCTCAGTTAAAAAGAAAACATAACAGCTACAGTATTTACTAGGAACACTTCTGAAAAGCAATGGTTCTGTTCTGAGGATTTTCCTGTGGCCTAGATGGCAACGATGCTACAGAATACTAACCAAACTCATCCAGTTAGTTCTTACTCATCAACTTAGAAACAGAAACACCTTAGACATAAATAAGCCAGTGGCTGATAGATGAGTGGCTGACACAGTTACCAGACACACTGCAGGGGATCCAGTGACCCTGTTACTGTAGTACCTAAGACACAATGGCAGAGAGGACACATGACGACATTCAATTCCTGTCACCTGAGAGGTCACCACAGCAATAGCCAGCTAAGAAATTCGGAGAACACTCACCATCATCTCAAATATCACTGTGGTTGGCATCTCAGTTTCTTCCCATGCAAATTAGGCTAGCACTTATTATGGGATAAAAGACAAAAGAAGTTGAGTTGATCAGGCCTTTTATACGCCTCTTGTGGCTACAGTGTTCCCAAACAAAAGGTAAAGAGGAGGAAAGGGGGGGGGGGGCTGGTTGTAAAACACCTGGAAAATGCCCTCCAGGAAAATGCCTGCGGCAGGGAAACATCTCGAAGCAACTTCCTCAGCACTTGCATCTGATCCCTGGCTAATGCACCAGCTGTCATGGCCCTTCTAGGAAGTCACTTTGGGGCTCAGGCCCAGCTATTCAAAAATGGAAGGGGAGCACACACTGTCAAGGACAAAGCTGTAAAACAATTTTTGTACTGGCAGGAAACTGGCAATTTTCTAAACACTAAAATTTTCTAAAATTCTTAATAGTAAGAGACTGTAATAGGAATAGTAGTAACCAATGAATTTACATTACAGAAAAAAAAACAACTAAATCCAAACAAACAAGCAACAACAACAAACCACAACTATTGCTAACCAAGAATGACAAGTGGAGAAATGTGGTAAGAACAATGTCTCACTTTAAGTGGTGGCCAGGACTTAAATCACAGGTGGAAAGCACACGGCTCACAGAACAGCTACACTCCCAGCCATCTGCATGTGTGTAGATCCAGCCAGTAAGAGCCACTCACACCATCCCGAACTGCACTGCACTCATCCATCGTGGGTCTGTTGACCTCTGGTCACCTGCTCACCCCAGACCTACCATTTGGGCTCCAGTTCCAAGACCAAGTACAGCGGCAGTCAATGATGTGCAGAGGAGTTGATGTAGCCCCCACAGCATGATGCTGTCATCTGGGGTCCACAAAAAGCAGGGCTCGAAGGGAAGTTTTAGAGAAAAAATTGACCTTCCCATGACACCTTGAATTCACACTAGGTGGCATCACCTGAACCTCGAGTTATTATTGAGGAGACCAAGGAACCTTGGTCAGACTGAGAAATGATGGGGTGGGGGCTGGCTGCAGACCCTGAGCCCTGGTATCATGGTGACATGTGAGACTGTGGTGGCTGACTTCTCCAAAATTACATCCGGTTTCAGTGAATAAAAGGCACTGGTGGGTTCTTCAAGGCTAGCTGTGTCCATGCAGTTTCCATTTCCACACCCCGATGGACTCATGATGTAGGACATGTTCCTGGTATCACAGGAATCCCTGAGATGGGGAATGATAAAGTTCTCCTTTTCACATTTTGTTCCAAATCAGTGATTGCGTGAAACTTAATTTCTAAGTGTCTGAAATTGCATCTTTATCTCACTGACATTATGGGATTCAGTTCATCGAGTTGAGAGGGAAAACATGGAGTTATAAAGCTGATTCATTTGAATTGCTTTAATTCTGAAACTATATACAAGATGGTAAAACCAAACAACTTTCTGATTTGAAGTCAGTATATGCTGAGCATTGGACCCATGCTCTTTGAAGTCCATCAAACTACTCCTCAGTGGCAATACAAAACTCAAAGTGGCCCAGATATTCTCCCCAGTTGCCCTCTGAGTTATTATTAATTTACTGAGACATAAAGTCTCATGTAGCCCACGTTGGTCTTGAACTATGTCATTAAAGATGACCTTGAATTTACGGCCTTCCTACTTTTTCCTCCCAAGTGCTGAGATTACAGATGTATACAACCATTCATTGTACTTGAATTATTTTAATCAGGCTTTTTGAAGTTATGCAACTTTCCCCTGTAGTTCACAAAAGTTACTTTATTCACCAACACTGCCATGTGCGAGCACATTTAAATGACTGGAAGGGAAGATCAGGGTTCATTATTCTAAAAGTATCTGAGGAAATTCAGATGAATGGAGAACACTGATGCCCCCTTTAAAGGGTTTAAACACTCTTGTTTCTAATGAAAACATCTTTATTTCCCTGCTTATAAGTAACACTTATTTACTAAGTAACCACATGCCAAGCATCATTCAATATCATTTATATTGTTCCACTTAAGCCATAATACTAGGCCAGTGTCTCTCAACCTGTGGGTTGCCATACCTTAGGGTCACACAACCCTTTCACAGGGATTGCATATCGGAAATTCACATTATGATTCATAACGTAGTTAAATTACAATTATGAAGCAACAACAGAAATCATTTCATGGTTGGGGGTCACCACAAGAACTCTATTTAGGGGTCGCAGCATTAGGAAGGTGGAGAAGCACTGCTCTAGGCAGTCAGTACCACTATTTTGTCTGTTTAAGAAACTCAGCAAAGGTCTCAGAGCCTGAGAAGCAGAGGAAACATACATCCAGAACGCGACTCCAAAACCTAAACTCTTAACCACATCTTGAAGCACTCTCCTGATGTCTGCCAGAAGAGCAGTGGCCACTCCTTGCTGCTCAGCCCCTTTGTCTCCCCCACTTTCCTTCGGGCTCTCAGGTTCCCCAGGGCATTCCTTTCGATTGCTCCAGTTTTCCCTCCTAGCCACAGGCAGGGGCCAGGCCTCCTCCTAGCTCCCAGTCTACAGACAGTACAAGCAGAGGCCTGAGGTTGAATGCCCTGAGAAACCCCTGCAGACTGAGGACCCCCACACAAATAACATAGAAGGGCTTGGGAAACATGAAAATTCCTACATGCCCACAAGCAGCAACTGGACCTGCTAAGACATTCGTTTACCTTCTGGGAATGCCAGCCACTATTTCCATGTTACACAGAAATAAATGGGCTAGGATTATCCAAAGAGCTGTGTGAAGGTCATACATGTGTACCCAGTGGATTTTGGAAACCTGTTACTGAATTGTATTTCATTTGGTAGTCGGGAACCCAAAAGGTCTGCCAATATATTTCTAGGAGGGAAAAGTCATCCTTTATGAAAATCCGTGGGGTTGTTTGAAGTGACATGGCTGGTGAGCAGGTGTGCTGAATTCTTCACGTGCCTTCACCGGGTCTTTGGTTAGAAAGGAGCTGAGGTTTCTGCAGACTCTTCTGGCAATGTGAATGTCAACCTCAGCCAGGTGCTTGGGTTTAGCTGTCTGCCAGACCTGTGTGCCCACCTCAAGGCAGAGTAACCTTGAGCTAGTCCCTAACTTTACAGCATAGCATCTCACAAATAAGGTTGGTTTCCTGTACTGACTGGAAAGCTCAATGAAGTTAAGGGGAGTCTGGTGGGGGGAGGGCACGGGAGGAGTTGGATGGGGGAGGAGCGTGGGGTAGAAATGATGTAGACACAGTGTGTGTGTGTGTGTAGAATACTTAATAATAATGTTTAAAAATAAAAGCAATAAAACAGGAAAAAGATTAGTGATGTAATGTCTGTGAAAGTGTCTACCACAGGAATCTGTGGAAGGCCCTTAATAAACAGCAGTTTTATTTAATTTTATGTCTCTGTAAGGGAGGAGCAGATAAAAAAACATATTATTTAGAAATAAGGAGGCAAAAACCCATAAATTTGTGGCCTGAAGTTTTCCCAGCACTTAAGAAAACTGTTTGCCTACACTGTTTTTGCTGTGAAAATAGGGGTCACCAAATCTGACTATTTCCACCAAAACTTCACATTTTAGTAACCAGATACTTATAACTTTGGCTTATTTAACATAGTTCTGCTGTGTGTTAACATTACATTCATACTTGCAATTACCTTTACTTACACAGTGTCTGCCCTGAATAATTGTTTAACTGCCCTACCTGCAAAGGACAGAAGAATGAAATGTTTCGGGATCTCTAAAAGCTCTTTGCTGAGGTACATGTCCTGTTTCAGTGAAAACTCCTTCCAGAAGAGAGAAATTTTCTGGAAGATTCCTTTCCATGTCTGCTTATAAAGAAATACAAATGGCTAGGTTAAATTTGCTAACGAGTCAGGCATGGTGGCTCATGCCTACAATTCCAGCACTTGGGAGGCAAAGACAGGGTTTGAGGATAGCTTGGGCTACACAGTGAGTCTCAGGATAGCCATCTCAAACATGATGTAATAGCACATTTAATCATTCTCGGAGTACATGCTTTGCTGTTAACACTTCCTTGGATTCTTTTCTAATTTCGTTGACCTCGATGTGGTTCCTCCAGTTACTTTTCTCAATCAAGGGACCTGACCCACAGAGAGAAACCAGCTAGAGTCAGAAGATGCACCTACAACGGTTACTCATTTCCTGAGTTAGCCACTTCCTCCTTCACACATTTCCTTCTCTTGACCAATAAGCCTTTTGAAACGAGGTGTGGATTCTTGACAAGGAAAATGTATTTCTGGGCCCAGGGCTGGGACTCTAGACACATAATGAGACCATGCCATCTTGAACATTTCTGCAGTGACACAAAATTAAAACTTTTTTTTGTCTTTCAAGACAGGGTTTCTCTGTGCAGCTCTGGCTGTCCTGGAACTCACTGTGTAGATCAGGCTGAACTCAAACTCAAAGAGATCTGTTTGCCTCTGCAAGTGCTGGGATTAAAAGCGTGTGCCACCACCACTTACTGGAAATAAAGATTTTTTTTTTAACCTTCCACATTGAGCTTACTGAGTTTTTCCACTCTAAGTATTACCTTGATCAATTCTGAGTATTTCATAACTATTAAAATATGTTCTGTTCTAAGACATGCAATTAAGTAAGGCAGATATGGGAAGCTGTGAGAGAAACCCAAATACTGTGATTCTTCTGTACTAATCTATATAAAATACCATCTAGAGGAAGATAAAAATCAGTTCTTACCTGAGTACAAAAAGCTTTATGACTTTAACAGCAATGAGTGACCGCATAAAAACAGATAATAAATTCTCTTTAAATGTTTATTTTTGTCAGAAGAGCTGACAATATTCTGTTGAGAGTTTTGGTCTACTATTATAAGCATTTCCCTCTTGAAAAACCCACTCAAACATCCCATTCCTTGAGGTAAAGAACTCAAAATAAAAAAAAATCCTGATTTTTTAAGGAAAAAATTATTAAAATTCCTTTAGCTTGATAAATAGAAATAATCTTTTCTTGTTCTACACTGGTGAACACAGCATTTATACAGCAAAGTATCCCATCACTTATTGGCAAGTCACGGGTGAGAATCACTGATGCCATGTCGATTCATCACAGACCACAGCGCAACAATACCACGTTCATATGGACTTTAAAAAGAATGGTTATCAATTCCTTCTGGCAAAACAACCCAGGGTTTGGAATGGCAAAAGCAAAAGAAGTTTAAGCATGGAAGCAGCTCCTGTGAGGATCAGTCTGAGTCTTCTTCATCAATGTAGTCCTCAGCGTTGCTTAACGTCCGCACCCCATCTACAGAGAAGACAGGAAGGAGGCAAGCAGAGATTACAGACAGCTCAGAATTGTCTTCACTGTCAGTGCTTTGGGCAATTAAATACAATCTCCCCAATGACCCAGGGATTGTGGGGTCCTTGAGACCCTAAGAAGTTTCTCTACTGGAGAGGTTGCCAAGTCGTTCGGCAGAGTGAGGCACCTGGTGGCGGGGATTGGGGAGGGGGGACACCAGCTGTCTGATTCTGATACAAAGCAACCAGTCTCATGTACTGTGGTCAACAGGGAGCATACCAGCAGCCACTCCACACGTGGCCTCAGTCAGTCCACAGCTTGTGCCTTACCTGAAGGCAGACGACAGAAAGACAACTGACGAGGGAGAAAGCAAAGCGGGAACACAGTCGCCCAAGTTTCATCAAAGCGGAAACACAGATGCCCAAGTTTCATCAAAGCGGGAATACAGATACCAAGTTTCATCAAAGCAGGAACACAGACGCTCAAGTTTCATCAAAGTGGGAACACAGACGCCCAAGTTTCATCTCAGACAAATTTAGTATACAAAGAAGGAAGAGACTGAAATCACACACACACACACACACAGTTGGACCCTGTTAAATGCGGAAGCAATCTTGAATGTGTCAAATGGAAAACAGCTAATGTAACTGCTGTCTTGTCAAATTTTTACACCAGGAGATTTCCTGAGAGGGAAAGTGCAACTCAAAAACAAACGTGCTGTTAAGAGCTTAATTGCTACAGGGCAGCGTGGCATCCAGATTGCACTCTCTCGCTATCACAGCCCAGATTACATGGGAATATGACTTGTTCCGGGTCTGGAGAGGGTATGGAAAGGTGGGATTGAACCCTACCAAGCTAGAGCCATAGGGACAGAGAATGAGAACCTTCAGTGCCCAAGAAACCTTTCACCACAGTGGACTCTCTCTGAAGGTGCTGGTCTAACAACCGGAAGTCAGTGGCAGAGAAAGGAAGTTAGGCCACAGCTCTCCCTCTTGACCCAACTGGACACCAAGGACCAGGAGGTCAACCTTCAACAAAAGCCACCCACCCAGCAACAAACATGATTTCTAGTTTCTGTCCCAAATAGTTGCTAATATGGCTTCCCCCAAATCTGTAGCCAGGCACCAACAGCTAAGCTAGCAAACACTTTGTCATTCCCTCCAGAGCCCACATCCATAAATGAATGTCTTTAAAGAAACACCAGTTTAACTCATGGTTAGATCACCAAACTCCAGGCTTGTTTTCACTGTATGTGAGCTGAAGGGGGAGACAATACAGAGGGGCAGGTTCATGGGCAGGCTTATGATGGGACTTGGCAATGGGAAGGAGGACAATTTGGAAAGTTCCCTTAAACCCTGAAGGGAGGAAGGATGCTGACGATTTCTGATGGGCTACAGCAGGGGACTAAGGGGGCTTCTGTGGTTGTTTCTGTTGGGAGCTGGGTATGATACAGAGTAATATGCCATGCTGCTACTTCTCATTATAAATGGACACCCAAGGAAGGGATTAGCTCAAACGTTAATGGGAATAAGCAGTGGTAGTGCACGCCTTTAAGCCCAGCACTTGAGAAGCAGAAGCTCGTGAGTTCGAGGCCAGCCTGTTCTACAGAGTGAGTTCCAGAACAGCCAAAGCTACACAGAGAAACCTTGTCTCAAAAAACAAAAGCAAACAAAAGTAATCAAGAGAAATATATCCAGTTTTCCATTAGACAGGAAAAGATCTATGGAAGAGATAATAAATGCTATACTAGGTTAACATGGAACCAAATGTCCTTCACCTCTATAATGGAAACACTGAGTCTGAGTCTGCAGACAGGGATCAGCTGAGCTGTAGACACTAAAGCCCTCCCAAGGCTTGTAATGGTGAGCTGGCAGGCAAAGCATTTGCGTAAGTAAGCCTCCTGTTACACTGTTTCTTCTTAGATGGTGGAGGAAGCCTTGGATTCCCTTACTAAGACAACAGAGGTCCTGGGAGACGGCTCAGAGGGTAGAAGAGCCTGCCATCTGAGTTCAACTCCCAAATCCCACAGTGGAAGGAGAGACCCAACTCGTGGAAGTTGTCCTCTCATCTCCACAAGTGAGTCACACACAACAAACACTCACCCCCCTTTTTCTCTCATTGTCCTTTCCATCAAACCTTCACCTACATTTATTTATTTATCTAATCTCTCTGGGCTTATAAGAGTTGCCTTGATCATGGTGTCTCTTCACAATAATACATAAATAAATCTTTTTTATAGATTTTTTAAGGATTTTTTTATATATATGGTATTCTATCTTCATGGTTGCTACACGCCAAAAGATGGCATCAGATCCATTATAGATGACTGCAAGCCACCAGGTGGTTCCTGAGAACTGAACTCCGGACCTCTGGAAGCCGCCAATGCTCTTAACCTCTGAGCCATCTTTTCCAGCCCCACAAATAAATCTTAAAAACAAACAAATGAAAACAGAAAAAAAAAATCTTTGCAATAGAAAGATGCTAAGTCTCGGTCATAAGCAAGGAGAGTGACTTAAAACAAATACCTGTTGCCTGTTTCTTTTTCAGGAGTGATGCACAGGCTGCATTGGTGGCCATGTCCAAGGCCAGCTTCTTCTCATTGTTTCTCAAGTCTGTCCTCGCACCTTTCCAACATAAGAAAAGGAAACCATGTATCTCTGAAGACTAGAATGCCGTAGCCAATGCTTTGGCAAAGCTAGAGAACAATTCTGGCCGAGAATTAATATGACTGGCCTGCCGCAGCTCCATTAAAGTTGCCCTACCCTTCCCTTCCCAGCTCCAAGGCATTGCATATGGACTTTGCAAGGGGACCATCACAGGTCCTGGGTGAATCCTAAAACACAGCCATAACCATGGCCTCAAAGGTTTGTAACTCTCGGCAGAAGGCTTTGGGGCTTCCATCTAGGATACCCTTTGCCTCTCCTTCAATTCATGAGGGCTTTTAGAAAACACTATTGGGTTAATGTCAGAGGATTAATATCTGCAGATACATTCCTATGTAAATCAACAGAATGGCAAAACAATGAAAACTCACAGGCAATTCATTGTTCCCCAAGTTATTGTCCTTGTAAGCCCTCTTCCATTTATTTTCTCCCTTGTCTTTGTGCCAAAACTTACATCAGAATCCATGGAGACATTTGCATTGTTGAGGAATGGAAAATACAGAAGTGTGCTCAACAGTGCTGATTGACTCCCCTGAACTAAGCTCTTTGAAGGTGACCATTCTTCCAGTGGGCCCCAGCTGTCTCTCTTATGTTTGCCAATGATCTGCACACATATCAACATGTGCACAAAGCCAAACTACCTGTGCTGCTCTGTAACTCCATTTTTAACTTCCACTTATCTCCTTCGTATGTATCTGTGTGGGCACCTGGATCATGCTGCACATGGAAGCCCAGAGCTGCTGTTCTCCTTCCACCATACAGGCCCCGGGAACTGAACTCAAGTCCTCAGGTTGGTGGCAGGCACCTTTCCCTGCTCAGCCATCTCACAAGCCTTATAACTTCACTTTTAACTTAACAGTATTTAAATAATGGTGCGTTCTTATTGGAGTACGCACAAAACTCGATGTATCCGAACATTTATAGGTATTGCATTTTGTGGATGTTGTAAAACTTATTTCATCATAGCTTTACTGACAAGAATCAGTTCTTTCTGATTTCCATCATTTCTCACAGTATAATGGGCAGTATCCCCAACAACTTGTTCACAGGTTCACTTAATGGGTTCACTAGAAGTGGTACTGAGAGCCGCTGTCAAACCATCTTCCATGAAGGCTCTACAAGCATGTACTTTCTATCACAGTATTCCTACAATTTATGCAGTACTAGGAAAACAAAACATTAAGTGGCTCAGCAGCACATGGGTCATGGCTGCCACATTAGAAGCACAGCCTTCAGCATGACCTTTAGGAAAACCCAGCAACTCCCCATGGTGAGTAATCTTTTAGACCAGGGGTTTGCATCATCATCTCACTTAATCCAAAAACGTCCATGCTCATAAATTCCACAACACTGCCCCCAAAGATTTCTAAAGATGGAATCTATAACTTGTGGCTTGGAGAAATGCTCCACAGTATTGTTCTCAGGGCCAAGTCCCTGAGTGACACCCCTGGCCAGCCCTCTGTAAGAACAGTTAATATTTATGGGACAAGCAGATAAATGGATGAGCAGTCCCTGGTTTAGCTGTTTGCTCTGAACCACACTGTGGTGATATATTATTTATGATTTAATAAAGTTTGCTTGAAGGTTCAGGATGCAAAGGCAGCCACAAGCAATAGAGGTCAAGCAATGGGATCAGAGCATCCTTCATTCACACCTCAGCACTGGCCCAGCTTAGAAAAAAGCAGTTACAGCATTTCTACTATCTAATAAAGCTCTCCCAAGCAAGCATGAGCCTCATCAACTTTATCCCAACTTTCCCAGGACACGATGTCCTAAAAAACCCCTCCCTCCTAAAATCCTTCAGTCCTATAGATATGCACAGCAAGTTCCTTCTAAAATTAATACATTTGTATGTACTTTTAGTTTACCAAGGTCTTAATTCACAGTAAAATGTACCATAAATGTACCTCCAATAATTTCATCTCAATTATAATAACAATATACTCTTGACAGAGTAGAGGTTAAAACTCCAGCTTTAATGGAAGGAGACTCAGGCTAATTTCAAATGGCCTCCTTCACTAGGAGCTATTTTTCAATGCAAACGACCAAGTAAATTCAATAAAAACTTTACCTTTTGCCAGTAGCAACTGGACAATGTCTGCATAACCCTTCCAGGCAGCTGCATGCAGAGCTGTGTCTCCCAGCTTGTTCTATAGTGAAAGGGAAAATAGTGTTATTAAAAACACAAAGTGGACTGGATGAAGACAGCAGTACGTTTAATCCATGTAAATCTAACTTGAGAAAAAAGCTCCAGAACCACGTGGAATCCCAAAGAAAAGAGGAACAAGCAATGAGAAGAGCTGCTCCAGGAGGGATGGGGGAAGAAAACAAACATGGCAGAGGCAGGCTGAGGCACCGCTTCCTGCAGAGGGAGGCCTCAACAGGAAACGCAGAGACCCAGCAAGTCAGGAACTGAACATTCCTAGAGGCACTGGGCAAGAACGAGGTATGGAGAGGGAACAGGAATGGCCAAATGGATTTACACAACATCTTTAGAACCCCTGGAACAGCCACTGGCAGATGTCCCACTAATAGCAGTAGCATTACTCTGCTGAGAAATTACTGGAGTTCTCTAGCTCATGCACAATGGTATGAGAGAAGGTGACAAGAGCCAGTCGGATGAAAACTTATAAGCTGAACGATCTTTCACTCAGCTACTCTTAACCACCTCTTTGCCCAGTGAGTAGAGTGGAAGGTAGTGACTTAGGCCAGGAGAGTGCAGATCACCTCTCGAAACAGTATGGCCCCTCAGTAGGGGCAAGGAGTGGCATTTATGTCAGCATACTCAGTAATACAGGAGGCGCCTCATTATGTCACCATGTCCATCAAGGAGCACCCTCCCCTGCCACCAAGTACACATAGCTTCCAATCACACAGATAAATGGCTGAACCAAGACACCGGGTGTTTGAAAACAGCTTAAATGTTTGAGTAGAGGTCAACTTAAAAAATAAAAATAAAAGGCTCTGGGAGAAAAGCACAGTAAATAGTAGAGAACATTTTAAAAAGTAATAATTAACATATCAGCCGCATAAGGTGGTATTACAATCAAACAAGAAAAAGATGCCATTAAAAGTAAGAGTGAAATAAGAGCTTGTGGTCAACAAACTTCTTGGATGACCCCAATAACACCTGTTCTCCCTTGTCCCCCAAGAGACTCCATATACAACCCTCTTGTCCTCAAGTGTGGGTGAAGTCAGAAACTATAAAGGCCATCACTCCTCTTGGGTGGGGCATTGTGGTGCATGCCTTTATTCGTAGCACTCAGAAGACAGAGACAGGTATATCTCTGTGAGTTCAAGTCTATCCTGATCTACATAGAAAGTTTAAGGCCAGTCTGGGATACACAGTAAGATCTTGTATTCAAAAATAAAAAGTCCATCACTTTGTAGACAATACATATTGGGTTCACCAATAGGGGGTTATTCTGGGTAGGCTACATCTAGTCAGGAAGGCTTTTAAAAACAAAAGTTAAATGGTAGAGCAAACACCACCACCTACTAGCCATGAGGAGGACAGAAAGCACTCATTTTGTGAACTTTTAATAGAAGGATGGGGCATCTAAAAGTTGAGGGCATCAGTACTACAGAGGCAAAAAGCTCACATCTCAGCAACTGTAGTGAGCTTAGAAGGGAACCTCAAGCTTCCCAAGAACCCAGGCAGGTCCAATGGAACTTGGGCTTTACAGTGTGAGATACCAAATCCTGTGATGCCATGCTCAGAATTCCAACCCACCCAATACACATTGTGAAACCTGGGATAATTTGCTACATAGCAATAGAAAATGAATATAGAACTTTGGGGCAATTAAAATAAAGGCGGGGCTGCAGAGACGCCTCTGTGGTTAAGAGCACTCACTGGCTGCTCTTCCAGAGGACTCAAGTTCAATTCCCAGCCACCACATGGAAGCTTACAATTGTCTGCAACTCCAGTCCCTGGGAAATCTTATGCCTCTTCTGGCCTTCATTGGTACTACATGCATGTGGTGAATATAAAGGCACGCAAAACATTATTTGTATATACATATACATATGTGACTTTTAAAAACCTTTATAAAGGAAATCATTTTAAAAAGATAAAGGCCAAGAAATCTCTGATTAAAAAAAAGAAAATACGAGGTTCAGTTCATAGAATCAAAAGAACAAAGAAAATGGCTAGATGTAGAAAAGGAAATAAAGACAATTTCTCAGACTAAAAGACTTCATTGTAGTCACTAGAGAAAGACAGCACTAAGGCACACCCTTGTAAGTTTTCAGAACACCAAAGTCAAAGACTGCAATGAGAAAAAGACAGGTCACAAGCAGAAGCCTGCAAACTTCCAGGGTTATAAGTGGTGGGAGTTTGTCTCCTACGGCTCACGTTCAGGGGTCTGGGTGACAGCAGAGCCTTTAGAAGAAGGGTCCTTGCTGTAGTTTGGATCTTACATGTCCCCAGAGATCCATGGCACACTGCTATTCAGAGGGGGGCGATGGAGTCTTGGGGACAGAGACAAGTAGGAAATCTTCGTGCCCTGGGGTGTGTGCTCAATGGGGTGGTGAGACTGTTCACTGGAGATGCAGTGCCAGCCTATCAGTGCCACCAACAACGAGCTTGCTCACCTTGGTACCAGCCCAAGAGCAATGGGGCAAACTGATCGCGGAACAGCACTTCCCAAACTGGGACGGACGGAAACCTTTTTTCTCTGTAAGGTGAGTATCTCCAGCGTGTGTTGTAGGACCAGAGAGCTGCACTTAAGGATGAAGGTTGTAGCTCTCCGACACACAACTGAACAGTGTGAGGACTTGGCTTTAGACCCCAGTACCACAACACAAAACACAGTCACAACAACAAAACTCCGTGTGCTTGTAGCATTTCAACTAAAATACTGTACACGCACATAAGCTGTACTGTGTCAGAGAGGAAGAGGTGGGTGTGCTAAATGTGTTCCCCATGGTAAGCAGTCTCACCTGCTGGTTCAGCTCCACGTTCGGCTGAGTAAACAGAACCTCCACTATGTCTGCAATTCAAACAGAAAAAGGAGTTTCTTAAGACAGAAACAGTGAACTCTGTAAAAGCAGATATCATAATTACAAACGACAAAACTTGTTAGGAGAATGTTCTAGAAAATACAAGTTTCTCAAATTTATATACGGGGAAAACAACAACAAAACCTAAATGGTAGACCACAAAAGAAAATTTTCAGACCTGAAGGTATAGCTCAGTTGGTGAAAAGGAGTAGGGTTTGCAATGAAGTACATTTGTGTACTTCATTGTAATCCAAATTTTGATTCACCTTGCCATTAGTACTGACTGCAAGAGAATTGGAGACTTAAACCAGTGTGGTACTTCTAAACTGTTCATTAAACTTCAAATGTAGGGCCAAAAGCATAGCTCGGGAAAGGCCATAGGAGCCAGCTGGGTCTTCCTCTGTGGCACGTGACGGTGGGCTTGTTATCCCGTTACTGGGGTTTTCTGATACACTCTGAAGCCTGAGAGAGGGAAGGAACTCCCGCCTTCCCAGAGATATCTGCACAGTGGGGGCTCATCAGCCACATCCCACCCTCACTGCTCTGCAGTTCTGGGAAACACAGCTTTGGGGGACTTTGGAAGATTTGTGGCATTGCTTTCACCGTGATCGGAAAGCAGGCTCCCTAGGGTGAAGGCAATTTTGAACAGCACAGAAACATGTGGCGAGCACGATGCGGTACCTTTGTGGCCCCCGTGGCAGGCCCAGTACAGGGCTGTGCTTCCAGCTTTGTCCAGGCCGTTCACACCCACTCGGTTGTCCAAGCACTCTCTCAACCAGCTCAAGTTGCCTGAAAGAATTTTACACTTATAAAAAACACAAGAACATGGCTTTTATTCCTTGTTTTGCTTTTAAATCAATTTCATCACTGTAAGCTCCCATTTGTGATGGATTAATCAGCAAATCCCAAAACAAGACCTGCCCGCTAAAGCACTTATCACGGTACATTTGCTCTCTGAGTTATTGATGGACAGCAGTAACATCCATTTTTTAATAGGAGAAGCTGTAAAAATAGGTCTAAAAGTATTTCTGCTTCAGAGAGGGAAAAAAAGACATACTGTTTTGTCTCTGTTTAGTTCTGAAAGGTGTAACACGAAACCTAACTACAAACAGCAACCCTCCCAATTCATATTTAAGACACTTTCAGTGTGGGGAAGAAAAAAATGCAGTAGCTTAAGCTAAGGAAGCTGCTCAATACTACTGCTCTATGCTAGAGTACAGCTGCTAATTTAAAATTCCAGGCTAACATCCTAAGTATCTCATTTACACAGAAGATTTTTTTATGTCGTTTTAGCTAGTCTAAGCCCTTCCCTTTCCACATGCAGAGATGGGACAGAACGAAATAGCTTGCCGAGGCCGCATCAGCACTTCCCATTATTCAAAGGAGGGCTTCCTAATAGAATAGTCATGGGTGTTTGGGGTTAGAGAAACTCTAGGTTGAAGGGTTTGCCTTAGGCATTGTGGATGTTTAGCAACAGCCTGGGCCCCTACCTAAAGAATACTTTGTGACAGAAGAATGCCTTGTCACAGCATCTTGTGACAGTCAAAATGTCCCCTTGCATTGCCAGTCCCCTTGCAATGTCCCCTTGCAATGCCCCTTGGCATTGTGCCAAGCTTGTGGGGATCAAGGCACCCCACCACCACCAAATCAATATTCTGTTAAAGGTAATGGCCCAGGACACCGCTGCCCTCCTGCCCCCCAGGACTCAGAACACCGCATTTTAACGATCTGGTACACCCATCTGGCCCTATCTGCCTCTGAGCTCTGAGAATCAGATCATGACCTTCCTTCCACCTGCCTAGTCCGACTTTGAGCACAGTGCAGGAAAGTGCTCAAAAAGTGTATTACCTGGCATTGTAAAATTAAAACCATTCTTACCCTCTCGTGGGCACAGAGGTTGCTTCTAGGGAAAACAGGGTTTTGAGTGGGAAGGTATGTTGAGAGAACATTATGAGAGGACAGAAAGGTTCTAGATCTTAATCTGGGTGTTGGTGCTCTGGGTATGTATGTACTTGACAAAACTTATCAAACCGTGTAATTAAAACCTAGGCATTTTTCTATAACATCAACGTGTCAGGCAAGGTGTGCCTAAATTTGTAATAGTGGCATGACTTTTACAAATCAATTTCTTTGATTCTATTTGAAACCTGTTAAACAGGAGGGAATCCATGCCTGGTGCTGTAACCCTTTTCGATGCCCATGGCTGGGGATGTCACAGGCCATAGCAGGTAACCTACAACTGTTGCTTTGCTTTAATGGTCAGGTTGTTCGATTGCCTTCTAAATATGCATGTTTACACTCATAGGTCAGTGACGATGCTCTCAACCTTGTCAGGGGAGCTTTGCTTCTGCAATGACAGCAGTTGCCACACAGAGTCAAAGTGCTGAGGAAAAGGGAGTGCTGGGTGCTCCGTCCTAAGCAGGGTATCTGCACCACCTCCTCTCCGTCCATGGCTCGGCAAACATGTCAGAATACAGAAACAGAAAGAATGGAAGAGCCAGAGGGTCGAGAAGAAAGAGCACTGTGAAACACTGTCTTCTGGACGTGCCATGGCTGCTGTTCCCATGGACTCACTATATGCACAACCAGTCACACATATGCCTGTGTGAATGGGGGTGTTCATGAGGTGTCTCTCCCAGACGAGGAGCTATTCCAAGCTGACAGCTTATGGAGGGAGAAAAGTCACTATTTCTCTTGGGGGTGTGCCCACTGGTAGGTTGTCCACACTCCAGCGGATGGCCCCACAGCCATGTGCACAAGGACAATAATTGGATTCAGGGTTGTTTATTTTAAAAAGGGAACATGTAGATGGGAAGGGGCATGCTGTAGGGAAGGGAGAGCTGGAGGTAGGACAATGATCAAAATACTTGCATGCATGTATGAGATTGTCAAAGATAAACATTTTTTAAAAACCTATGCATTTTAATATACCATATCATCTATCAAAAAAGAAAAAGAGAATCAAACCTACCTCTTTTTGCAGCCTCATGCAATGGATTGTCGATGGATTCTGCTTGCTCAGCCACTAGACAGAAAACAAAAAGGCAAGCCCACCATTGAAGTTACTCGGTGATTTACTGGAGTTGGTCACGCCCATTGGGCACCCAGCTTCACGGTCAGGGCTTCAGATACAACAGCTTAACAAATGAGTTAGCGTGGCTTAGAAGGACCACAAAATAACTGATAGTACGGATTCTTGTTAAATGAAACCAGGACAAGCATTAAGGCAGTGACACAGCAATTAACTTGAAGCATAAACAACAGCAAGCATAGTCATTAACAGAAATAGGAACAAAACCTGAACAGACCCCTGAACCAAGCACCAAGTTTACTCAAATATTTAATAAAGAAACAAACATAAAAAGTATGAGCATTCTGTGAACACTTTTGTTTGAGGACACCTGATAATAATTCTGGTCCCTTCTAGAAGCAAGCAGCAGGGACTGAGAGTGCCACTGCACTGCCTGGGTTCACAAAGGACAGCAGCCATCTATCTGTTTTCAACTACGGTGGCCCTAGAGTGGGTAGGCGTGCCCAGAGGAAGACAGCAGCTCCAGGGTGACCTCAGGCTCATGCCTGAGGATATTTGTGAGCTCAAGGACAGCCTGGTCTACAGATTGAGTTCCAGGACAGTCTCCAGAAACTACACAGAGAAACCCTGTCTCAAAAAAAAAAAAAACAAGAAAAAAAAAAAAGACCATTTGACCCCCAAAGGTTGCAACCCATGGGTTAAGACCCACTGAACTAGAGGAACAATCTGTGATCTGGAGTTCAAGAGCATTACAGAAAAGTATAAAGAGCAGAATCCTTAGTGTTTCTCTGGAATGACTTGGGCCTATGCACACCTGGTATGCATGGCCATTTTATAAACGGGGCTCACAGTGCAGCTGGTCACTCACCATAGTTGCTCGGGATCAGTCCTGTTCGGCCTTTGCATGTCCCTTTCCACCAGCTGGTATCACTCTGTCAAGAGGTAGGGGAGTCAGCATGTAATTGTACCTGAAACTATTTGAGTTCTCACTGATCAGCATCCTCAAACCCTTGCCATCTGTGTCCATGCCCCTTTTCAGAAACATAAATACAAAAGCATCTCCCATTCACAACCGGTACGCATCACAGATCTTTAATCGGACAAACCAGAGCACGTGAGAAATGGGGAACAATGCATCAGTTCAGGCCATAGCTAAAGGATTCAGATAGCCAGACTTTAACATCTCTCCTTTGATAAACTCTTATGTTCAGCCACATTTTCTAAAATTTCTTTGTGTTTTATCTCCACTTTTGGGTAACGGTTTATCAAAGAGAACCTATATAGAAGCAGAAAGAACAACATGATAGCATTTCCTAACTTCATGACTCACTGCTTGTGACCAATACTACCCACCACCCATCATATTTTCCCCTTGGATTACCAGGGTTAGTGATAGGTAGTGTAATTTTTACTCTGTAAAATCAGAATATGTATCTGAAAGATAAATAATTTTCAAAGGCAACTGTGACACCATTACCACAGTTTCAAACTTTTCCCCAATAATATCTAAGTTAAAACTCAAAATTCCGAATGGCCCACATTTTGAGATTTCAAATAAGGACCACATAGGACAACTAATTTCACTTTTATTTTATGGGTTCCCCCTTCATTCTTTTCTTTGTTAGTTTTGTTGTTGTTTTTTAGCTCTTGATATATTTTTTATATATACATGAATATATGTGTGTATATATGTACATATGTATGTATATATACATATATTTGAAGGAACAATTTATTTCTTCTGTAGACACTGGAACAGTCTGGATTTTGCCTGTTGTAAACCTATGCTATCGTTAAACACACACCCCTTTTCCATGCACTACCCATGAGTTGCTTTTGAGTTCGAAAAGCATAAGCAGATTCAGCCGCACATTTTTGTGAAAGCTATTGCATGGGTGGTATTGATTTCCCCAATCAGGAAACATACAAGGCAAGGCTGCCTCTGTAGGAATGTAGCTGCTGTCAATCACAGGGGTTGCAGAATGGGGTGTTTTTCCATTTAAATAAGTAGCATGTCTCTTTAAAGAGTCACTTTCTCTTACCAACTCTTGGATCATTCAAGATAAAGTTCAGGAAGAAAGGAGAGAGTAAGTATTGACTCCTTTCTTTACCAGATGTCAGAATAAACACCCTCATTCCAGAGCCGTTCCTCACAGAACCAATGAAACCTGTTTTCAGGTAACATTAGGGAACCACAAACTTAAACAGCGTTTCGGTCCTTGAGAGCTGTTACCCTCCCTGATTAACGCTCAAATGGGCCCTGTCTCAGGGCAGTACATACTGCTTTCCTTGTCACTCCAGTGTGGTGGCCCTTGCAGTCTTCTGAAGCTGCCTTCTATTCCAGTCACAAGATGGTCACTCTATCCTGGACATTTAATGAACCAGAGCTAGTACTAGTCATTTCTCAAAGGGGCCTCGTGCCTTTCAATGAGAGTAATATATTATTACCACATTGTCCATTTTCTAAGGTCCCCTTCAAAGATAAAATGTGATGTTTTTCTGATTCAAATGAAGGATTTCTGTGTTTCTCCTTCGTGTTACTGACACCTAGGCATCCTCCTCCTCCCCCCATGCTGAGAACCCACAATGGACAGGAGTGACTCGATGACTCATCTGCCCTCAAAGGCCACACACAGAAGCCTCAGAGCACTCCGGTCAAGATGAGCACTCTTGGGTTTTTATTTATTTATTTATTTGTTGGCATTCTGTTCCATTCTTTATAGTCACTACAAACTTCCAAGTCTTACTGAGAGGTAACACTTTTGACTCTGTGTGACTGAGCTAACTGCCAGAGTATGATTAGAGTCATCTGGTTCACTCTGTTCTTAATTTTTAGGGACTACTTTTAATTATTTAATTTTACAGCCACATAAAAAGTTTGTATGCTTCCAAAGTCAAACTTTTAAAACAAATTATAATTTGAAAAATCTATTTTCCCTTCCTTCAGATAGAGAAGACTAATTTATAAGTCATATTTTGCAACTTTTTCTCTATTTTCAATGTCAGAAAATAGAAGCACATTTATGTCTCTCACCCTTTCTTAGCCAAGTAAGGCATAATATATGCATTTTTTAATCTTGCTTTATTCCACTTGAATTACATCAGAATAGTATATGACAGAGATTCTCATTCCTTTGTATGGTTGCAGAGTTCTATCTGTGGCCACAACAAAGCTTATTCAACTATTTCCTGCTGATGAACAAAATGACTCCTGTCAATGATATGTTACTGCAAATGTGTCTGCATATATACCTCTATGTAAATATGCACTTAAAATAACTGACAATATTATAGCTACATATAACAGTGGAGTCCCATGTTGATGCATCTGTAGTATGCATATAGTAGTATAGGACATTAGGTGGGCTTACCATGTCAGTGATGTAGATAATATCTCCTTCTTCAAAGTACAGTTCATCTGGCTAGAAGGAAAAAAACAAACATACATTAACTCCATGCGATTTTTTTTCCTATCTTAGAATACAATGATTTTTTTTTTCATTTTTAAATTTTAAATCCCGAAGTACTCTTATAGACAATATTACTTCTATATTAACATCAATAAATAAACTATACAACAAGATTTGCAGTAAATTAATACTTGAAGTCTAAAGCTGGCTTTGTCCCATGATGAAGGTTGTCAGAGAACTGTGCATAATAAGAGTTTCTAGGGTTAGAGAGATGGCTCAGAGGTTAAGAGCATTGACTGTTCTTCCAGAGTTCAATTCTCAGCAACCACATAATGGCTCACAACCATCTGTAATGAGATTGGGTGTCCTCTTCTGGTATGCAGGGATATATGCAGGCAGAACACTGTATACAGAATAAATAAATAAATCTTTTTAAAAAAAGTTTCTAACACTTTTTATATCCTTCCATCACTAAGCAAAGGATTTTCACACCAGCACAGAGTACTGGTAAAACTTTTCACTCTTAGAAATTATGGTAGATGATATACACGCATTCGTTATGTAACATATGTGTGATATATACACACATGTATATGTATGTATGTGAACAAATGTCTAAAATTAAGACCATGAAAAATATTTGCTTATCTTCAGAAAGGTATTCATGCTCAGAGAGAATGAGTGTTTCTCATACATGACTATTAATATGTAATTCAGCATTGATAGCCTAAAGAGCTAAAATACAAGAAGTCATCCAGAAACACTAGCAACTCCAGGAGCTAACTTCATAGCTAGTACCCCCACTCTGGCCTGACCCATCAAGTGCCCTGCAAACTCTCTAAAGACAGTTAAGCACTTGGTTACTTCTGGTAGACAGATAACACCATGATTTTCTGAGTAGGCAGGAAGCACAATACCCACTGAAAGAGAATCTCAGAATATTGAAAGAGTCAAGAAAATGCCAAGCACAGACACAGGATGCAATGACGATGCATAAAATATTCACAGGAAATTTCCAACTTTGTTGCTATTACCAAGCATACTTTTATAATACTAGTAAGACAATTCCTAGGGGGAAAAAAGACTTTATTTCTGCCTATTCCACACATACAATAAAAATTATACTAGTGGAAAAAATTATTTCGTCCATTTATTCCCCCCGAGTGTTTTCCCCCCTCTCAGGAGCAGACTGGGATGGGTATATATGACTCTGCCCTGGATTTCATTTCAAATCTGATCCATACTACTAAAACCGAATATAAACAAAAGACTGCTGGCAACTGCATCATGCTTGAAGCAACCACAATATGAAGTCAGATGAAACATTCACCATCTATATAACTTAGTGAATAGTGACTGATGGCATCCCCAAAATGGCTGATTTCCTTCAACGGCAACTTCCTAAAGCATTTATTACCTTTACACCTTGATTTGCAGAGACCAGATTTACAGCAGAAGCTACACAAAACTAGTTAAATCCACTGTAACTTTATTTGAAATAATATTCAGGAGGAGAGAAACAGAAGACCTCTGAGATTTTTCTCTAGCCATTGTTTTGAAGATGGATGACCAATATTACTTTCAATTCGCCCCAGACATAGAAAGTGATTAGAGAAACAATTTCCTTTAACACTAGCTGCAAACGGGATCCCCTCAGAGACACTTAAGAGGGTCCCACATTCATCACTGCAGGCCAGCACTGAACACAGTGGCCATCTCAGAACATTACAGTGGTATTTTATCATCACTTGACTGTCTCTACTTAGAAAGTACCAAGGCATGGGAAGAAAGGGGAGGAAGGAGGAACTTACAATGGGTGTGTGGGGGGTGTGGCCAGATGTGAACCGCAGCCACTTCTGTGATGATTGCACTTCCTGGAGTTCTACAAGGGTCGGATGTGCCCATCCCACATTAGAGAAGCCCTGGGCCATTTCTATTCTGTACCTGTCTCCTCACAGCCCACAGTGAGCCCTCTTCAATTAGTGCCTTGCAGAAGCCAAGGAACTACCTTTCCCTATCGCTTAGTCTCCTTCAAAAGTCATTTCTGCCTAAATTCTCATTTAGTAAGATCACTCACCTGTGAAACAAACAAAAACATATGAAAAAATCTCTGCCCAAAAAAAGCCCAAAATACACAACAGGCATATGTGTACATATATGCACACATATCAAATCTCTGATTACTGCTCCTTATGAACTGAGTAATGAGTTGAGAAATGAGAAGTGGCCCCTTCTTAGGCACAGGGTTATACTCTGAGGCAGTAAAAACATTTTGGAACCTGGTAAAGGAAGTAGTTGTTCACCAAGGCAACTGAATTAATCTCATTCAATTGTTGGCTTTAAAGTGGTCAATTTTATGTTGTGAGTTTTGCCTCAATTTTAAAAACAGACAAAACTCTCAGCATCTTTTAGGCAACCCTTTTATTTTGTGACTTGGCAAAGGGAATCATTTGGAAAATGTCACTAAGCTGAGTCATCTGATGACTTCACAGTGCTAACTCAGCTTTAAATGAAAGAAGCTGTTCTATACAGGCAAATGCACATCCCCACCCCTCCACCTGTCTGTTGATCAATGAGACAACAACCAGTAGCCAATCAGAGAGAAAATGGTCTAGCCATTTTATAAGTTTGGTGTTTGGAGTTTTTGTTGTTGTTTGTATTGTTTTTGAGACTGGGTTTTACTGTGTAGCCCTGGCTGTCCTGGAACTCACTCTGTAGACCTGCCTCTGACACACAAGTGTTGGGATTAAAAGCATGCACTACCACTACCCAGCCATTTTATTAGTTTTTATAGTTTGTTTTCCTTTAGTAGCTCTCAGGTACAATGCTTCCTACACAGTATGGTCTTCTAGAATGGCAAAATAAAGGGGTGGGCTTTCCTAGCCTGGCTAAAGGGATGGTTTATGAAATTCTTGACACTGCTGGGGACAGTACAGTCAATATGGTAACATTAGGGCTTAAGATCATACATTACCTAAAAGAATCACATTTTCCATTAAAAACCCACAACCGACCACTTAATGTAAACTGTTCAAGGAGGATGAACTCTTTTACACTCCTGGCATTGTATTCATGCAAGAAAAATGGTGACCCAATGATGCCATGAGCACACCACTACATCCAGCTTGTTCTCTGGTTTTTAATTCTCTCATCTCTCCTTGAAGAATGACAAGGTATTAAAACAAAGAAGTGAGCTAGGCACGGTGACTCATGCCTTTAGTCCCAGCACTCAGGAGGCTAAGGCAGGAGGACTGCTCTAAGCTCAAGTACCGAGTGCAAATGTACATTCTCATTTCTATTCTATATATATTCTGGGTAACAGTCCCAAAGCAGTAATTTTATTGGTTTATGCAAATATATGGTTTTTTAAGCTTAGAAAAACTAATATACTTCTGATTTTTTTTTTAGATTTGGTAACCTAAACATACAAAATTAGCCAAAGGGAAAATAAATTTTCATGAATTTTTTTCATTTCTTATTTTATAATAGTTACTTATATGCCATGAATTTGTCAGGACCTTTGCAAACAGTAATTTAATTCTCCCCAACAATACTTAAGAGTAGGGCCTTTCTTACTGCCATATTAAAGATGAGATTTTCACACAGCATGTGATATCCAGACTATGGAGGCCCAACTCCTAACCCCAGCTTTTGTTTTGTTTTGGTTTGTTTTTTGTTTGTTTGTTTGTTTTGTTTTTCTCAAAGAAACATCACACATCTCATCACTGGTCATCATGATATCATGGCATAGTCCAATGATGGCGAACATTGGAAAGCATTCCTCATCCTAACTCCTCTATAATGCAGGACAACAATATCGAAAACAGTCCTTTTCCCATGCAAACTATGCTTGACCTCATTGGGTCCTCGCAAAAACCTACCAGGTAGAACTGGGTCATGGCATCTCTGTGTAGCAAGCAGATACAGAAAGGCTTGAAGATCACAGCAAGGAGCATGGCTGGGATCTTATCTCTGCTTTTGGATCCCCATTCTAGACCTCCTTTTCACATTATAACCTAGGTCAACCAAGGAAGCCTTGTATGACCAAGCAGGTCCATCTGGTTTTCCTTCAGAAGCCGACACTCCTCAGGCACACTATTTGTTCCTCCCAGTGAACATGCTTTTACACTAGTCCATCCAGTTGAGGCAGGTGTCTGTGTGACACTTCATCCAAATGGGGGCTGGGGTGGGGGGAATTAGACTCACAGAAGGACGAGTGATACCAGAAATACCTTTCCTAGAAGCAAGAGATAATCAAGAGCCACAACTGCCTTGCTCTACCCAGCCAATACATTACCAGAACTAGAGCTGGCTGTCATTCTCACTGTCTCCTGGGGTATACGTTGTTAAAAGCAAAACCATAGCCTTTTAGACTGTTGTATATGCAAGCAAAGGATTCCTAGCTTCCAGCTGAGCTGTCAGTATTTCCAGGTCACAATGTTTTAAAGAGGTAATTGGTACACTATAAACCAGCATGGGTTATGAGCTCAGCCTACTATATCTGCAGTGCAGGGTATACTTGCTATGCCAAGCATACGGTATGGGAAGACTTCGAGTATTGTGACCTCAGTATACTGAGAGATGTGTTCAGAATGTGGGGCTTGTGGTGTGCTGTGTACTTGGTGTGCTATGCACTCGGCTGTATATTCAGTGTGTTCTGTAGTGTGCTGTGAACTCAGTGTGCTGAGTATAAGGTGTGTTACATCCTCAGTGTGCTGTGTTCTCAGTGTGCTGTGCCCAGGGCATGCTGAATAAACGGTGTGCTGTGCATGTGGTATACTCAATGTGTGGTTGCTGAGCCTGCACTGTGCTGCGTGGCACAGTGTGCTGAGGATCCTGTGTGCTGTGCTGTGGTGTCCTTGTGTCGCGGTGTGTGTGCCTTGAGCGCGACATGCTGAGTGCTCAGTGTGCTGTGTGTCCATACAAAGACGATGACTACCTGCTACAGGGGGACAAACTATTTTCCCAGCATTGTCCAAGAGACAGGTTCATGCACTCCCAAAAGTAAATAAACGTCTGGGAGGATGTTCACATTCAGTAACAGGTAAAAGAAGGCCTGTGTGAGCTGGTGGCCTCCTGTTCACTAGATTAGATACTTTAGTACCTAGAATGATGGAAGGAAGAACGTGAAGGAGTGTGGGGATGACAGGATGTGGGATGGCCACCAACAACGGGGACAAAGATTACGTAATCTCCAGGTCACAAGCAGCAAAAGAGGCAGGACAAATCAGAAAGCATAGCACAGGCTCTGAACCTGGCTTCTGCTCCCATGATGCGACCTGTCTGTACAATACTGTGCCTAAGCAGGTCACAGTAAGAGGCACCCACTTCTAGTGGGAGTGCTCAGCGCAGTACTTGTGGAATGACAAACAGTACACATGAGCATAGAGGACGCAAAACCAGGGGTCCAGAGAAGGTATAGAAATGGGCTCGACTGATACAGGAAGGAGGAGGGGTAGGGGCCGGGGCTTCTACACCAAGAGGACCACATGGTGAAACACAGATGTGCAGCAGATGGTGGACTGAAACCGCACACTGGAAACATTAACCTAGCAGGGAACGCAAGCAGAATAGAGAAGCATGAGTCATACTGGAAGTAAGGAAAGGCAAAAGGTCAGGATAAGCCACGTAGCAGAGGAGGTCAGTGATAAAGGACAACAGTGACCCAGCTAGGGACACCTGGGGAGAGCAGCAAAAGTGTCAAGAGTCACTTCGGTCTCTACCCCCAGGGAACATAGGTCTCATTCTAGAGGAGGCTTGTGTGGCCTCATGCTTGTAGGATCTAGAGGAGCAACTGACGATACTGTAAGTTCTCCTCCACAATTATCCTCCTTGGGCGACCCTGGTCCCATCAGAGATGTCCCTGTAAACAAAGGTAAAGATGACTCTGGGCTCAGCCACTCTACCTGTCACGGCCTTTTGTGCTTCCTCCCTAGTCCTGGGCGGCTGTCCCAATCCCCAGCACCCCAGAATGTGACTGTCCTCAGAGATGGTGTGTGTGTGTGTGTGTGTGTGTGTGTGTGTGTGTGTGTGTGTGTGTGTGTGTGTACGTACTATTTTGTTTTGGGGGTTTGTTGAGACAGAATTTTGCTATGTAGCCCTGGTTGTCCTGGAACTTGCTCTGTAGATCAGGCTGGCCTTGAAACTCATCAAGATCTACCTGCCTCTACCTCTGCCTCTGCCGGTATTAAAGTTGTACTCCACTACCTCCCAGCCAGAGATGGGGTCTTAATATTGAGATGATTAAGATACAATGAGGGCTTCAAGGTAGACCCCAACCCAACCCAATTGGCATTCATGAAGACACTGGAACACCAACACGCCCAAGAAGAAATCATGTGAGAAAGTGACTAACTACAAGTCATTGTAACTGGCCTCAGAAGAAACCAGCTCTGCTGTCAACTCAAACTAGGGTTTCTGGCTTCCAGGATTATGAGGAATTTTATGTCTGTGGCTAAAATTCCAGGTCTGTGACTCTGCTACAGCAGCTTACTCTACAAACACTGTACCCTCCTCCTGTGGCAAGAGTAACAGCCCTCTTTACCCCAGAAGTCTGCTGTCTCTGAAGTCCTGGGAAAGCTCATCTGAGTATGCAGACTTGCACTGGTTGTTAATCACTGTCACCAGCTGATGACCACCGATGGACCTCAAATAGGAATCTTCTGTCAGGATTGCAGGATGGCTGTTGTGTAGAGCAGTGAACAGTATTCCCATGTTCCAATGAGGTTTAGAAAATGGCAGACTGTGATCTCCCAGCAGGCGCTGGGCCCGAGTGTGGATCAGTACTCAGAGTGGGAGAGACATGCAAATGATGACAGATGCTGTGGAGAACTATGGAGGGTGTCCGCTTTCCTTCCTGTTGCTGATAAAACACTCTGACCAAATGCAGCTGAGGGAGGGAGAGGACTGATGTGGCTTACATTTCTGTCACCCAGGGAAATCAGGACAGGAAGCCAAGCAGGAATTGTCAAAATCATGGAGTATGGTGCTTCCTGGCTCCCTCACGCTTAGCTAGATTTCTTATACGTCCTTCAGCTGCTATCCACAAGACTCAGCTAGTGTGTAGCACAGAACAGGAGCCCACTAAACCATGAGTGGGTGGGTGGACAGCAGGATCCAAAACAACAGAAAAATGTATGCAGAAGAGATAAAATAATTGCTCTGGGAGGTTGGCAGGAGGTGTGAGGATCAAGAAGAGGGTAAGAAAGGTTGGCAATCCACAGCAAAGCTAAGATTGGGGTCTCTATAGTTTAGATATGAGTGATTTGAAAACAGATGTCACCACACACAAGGAGAAAAACAATGTAAGGGAATCTATGACCTCCAAACTCAAGCCGTGCAAATCAACTGGGGGCTTAGTTCCACTCACTGGAGGAGAGCAATGGGGAGGGACAGAAAGTACAGACTACTTGGGCCAAAAGAGGTATCTAAATAAAGTTAACTTAGGTCGCTGTGTCAATTTTACAGTTTAAATCAGAATACTTACAGTCCTGGGTTCAAATGTATATAGCGCTCTGAAGACTTTAACTTGCCCTAAAAGAAGAAGAAAAAAAAATGTAATCAATTATTTTATTTCTAACTATTCTGAGTTGTTATCAATTTCCCCCACCCATCTGAATTCCCAAATTAAAAGTGGGTTTGGGAATGTTACAGTGGTCCTTAACCTTCCTAATGCTACCACCCTTTAACACAGTTTGTTATATTGTGGTGACCCCAACAATAAAATTATTCTTGTTGCTACTTCATAACTGTGATTTGGCTACAATTGTGGATCATAATGCAATATCTGTGTTTCCTGATGGTTTTAGATGACCCTGTGAAAGGGTCATCTGATTCCCCACACACACCCAAACGACCCAAGGTTGAAAACCACTGCTTTAGAGACAGTACCTTTTCCCCACAGGATGCATCTTTAAAATGTTTATTACGTGAATGCAACTGTAAGTAGCTTTATTTGATAGGAATTATAGATTTACACTGCATCTCTGCCCTAAGTAGACACAATCCTAAGAGTAATGTCAAGCTTAAAAGTATAAAGGTGATGGGTTGAGGGGGCTCAGCAGTTAAGACCACTTGTCTCTCTTCCAGAAGACCCAGAAGACCTCTGTAGAGGCTCACAACTGCCTACAACTCCATTCCAAGTGCTCTAACACCTTCTTCTGGTCTGTATAGGAACCCACATACACACAACATACACACACACACACACACACACACACACACACACACACATACACACAGAGAGAGAGAGAGAGAGATAAATGGATTATAAAATTGTCGTGGTACACACCAGAAAGCTCAGCACTCCAGGAGGCAGAGACTGACAGATCTCTTTGAGTTTGAGGTCAGCCTGGTCTACATAGCAAATTCCAGGTCACCCCGGGCTACTCAGAGAGACTCTGTCTCAAAATGCAATAAATAAATAAAACTTAACAAAAATTTAAATGTAAATGTGGTTAAAATTATTAAATCAATCCATTGGGACTTTATATTCTCAAAAAGAACAGAAAAATGGAGGAAAGAAAAGGAACATGTAAGAGCAATATCACCCCTCCATCCCACATACTCCTCAGCATACTGTAGCATCTGCACTGGCCCCATCCATCTGAAGGAAAGGGCCCAACTTCTTCAATTTCCCAGCATCTAATATAATATATATATATATATATTAAATTTAAATTCACAAAATTAATAAAAATTTAAGCTGTATTGGGTCTACAGCAAATAAGGGGGTATGTTTTATAAAATAAATAGGTTAAGAAGGAGACCAAAATAGAAGGGATATCTATTTTAAGCTTTGAGTCTCAAACTTCCTAATTCTGCAACCCTTTAACATAGTTCTTCATGTTGTGGTGACCCCCAACCACAAAATTATTTTTATTGCTACCATAACTGTAATTTTGCTCAAGTGTAATGTAAATATCTGTTTTCCTATGGTCTTAGGTGACCCCTGTGAAAGGGTCATTTGACCCCTAAATGGGTTGTGACCCACAGGTTGAGAACCACTGATTTAAAGGCTGGTAACACTTCAGTCCTGTTCTGGAAGATCTTTTAGAGATGACATCCAAACCAAGTCTATCATTCAAACTGGCCTCCAAGGTAGATAAGGAAGCTTGCTTCAGAGTACATATTTTTATCTTACACTCTTTTTTGTTGCTATTTGAACATATTTTATAATAGAGAACATAGTTTAATACAGATACCATCTGCAGCTACAAGCATGTTTACTGGTAGAATTTTTTTAAATCTCTGTTTAATACAACGTGGTACGATGACGATCTACTTTTGATGTTTCATCAACAGACTTCCAAGTGCACAGCACAGAGACCTGCATATGAGAGGCTTGAGAAATCCCTGCCGCAGAATGAGGAGTGTGGGGAAAGGCCAGTGCTGAAGCCAGTGCTCTAACAGTCTGCAAAGCAGCAGCAGCAGCAGCAGCAGCAGCAGCAGCAGCAAGGAAAAGAGCACTGTCTAATGCAACTCCACTCAGCCACAGAAAATCTGACCGTGCTAGCCACATGTACACACTGAGACATAAAATGGGGCTCGTGTGACCAAGGGACTACGTTTTAATATCATTTACTTTTAATGAAGTTAAACCGCCACACATGACTGGTGACCAGCATACTGAAGAATGTGAGACTAGAGAAAACAAGAATGAGTCTAATGTCCATTGGAGGGAACTACATTAAGTCAACCCCTGCTCATCAGCATGATAGAATCATTAAAAAGGAATGGTGCCAGTTAGGAAATCAGTCTACATGCCCATCAGTTGGTGGGTGGACTGATGAAGAAAATATAAGGGCTAGAGACATGGCTCAGTCAATAGAGTGTGTGCCTGGAAAATGTGAGAGCCCAAGTTTGTCCCTAGCACACATGTAAAAGAGCTGGGGGTGGGGGCTTGTTTTTGTAATCTTGGTATGGTATGGGAAAGGAAGAGACAGTCAGATTCCTGAAGCTAACTGGCCGGCCAGCCTAGCCAAAGCTGGAAGTTACAAGAAATATAAGATGGAGAGCAACTGAGGAAAATGCCCGACCACACACACACTTGAATGCACAAGTTCACACACAGACCTTGAACATCCCCACCATTATGGGGCCCTGCACATTCTAAATTACATTGCTGTTTACACTCATCTCACTAACACATGTAGCATTTTTAGAACGTGTGAAAATAGCAACCACACTCATTTGAAGCAGGGAAGGACATTCTTTGCTCTCAACGTACAACCAAGGGAGAGCAGTTCAGAGTCTCACGTGTCTTAGTGTGTCTACCAGAAAACCTCTGGAGTGGAGTGGCTCACACCTGGAGTTACTGCATTCAGAGGCTAAGGCAGGTCTGGCTTACATCCTGGGCTACACACATAGTAAAATCCAGGTCAGTCTGTACCAGAGAGTGAAGCCCTGTCTCAGAAAACCATTGGGGCTGGGAAAGTTCCTGCAAACAAGGTGTATGGCATAAGGAAGGACCCTTGAAGTTAAACACACACACACACACACACACACACACACACACACACACACACACACCACCACTCTTTGTGATCTGAATCCTTGTGCTGTGTCTCTCTGTTTTTTTCTTTTCTTTTTTTTTGGTTTTTCAAGACAAGAGTTTCTCTGTGTAGCTTTGGAGGCTGCCCTGGCAAGTTCTCTGTAGACCAGGCTGGCCTCAAATTCACAGAGATCTGCCCGCCTCTGCCTTCCGAGTGCTGGGGTTAAAGGTGTGCACTTCCATCACCCAACCTGTCTCTCTGTTTCTATAGAGAGAAAGTGACTAACTACCAGAAATAAATGTATTTTTTTTCTTGTTTTTGTTTGTTTGTTTGTTTGGAGACTCCATCCATTCCTCACAGCCCTCAGGGAGAAAGAAAGCATCACAAAGAGGAAGCCAGGTGTGATGGTGCCCACCTTTAATCCCAACACTTGCATCTCTGAGTGTGAGTCCAGACTGATGTACACAGCAAGTTCCAGAACTGCCTGAACTACAAAGAGGGAGCTGGTGCAAAAACAAGGCATGGGGGGAAACTGCCAGGGACGGTTTTCTGCAGAGCTGATTGTTCTCCGAAGGTGGAAATCAGTTATCTCAGTTACTTCAAACTTTCCAAAGAGCAAGGAAGCAGTCCATTGTGATCAACATCAACAATGAACTTTCTAGTTCCTTACAGATAAGGGTAAGGATGAAAGATGGAGATAATCCTGGAAACAAGATACAATGACTTTAATGGACTCAGATAAAACTCAATAAAAATTAAAGAATCTGAAAGTAAATACATGGTGACTGACTGAACCACTAATTTGCATAACCAAAGTTCTTTCAGTTTTGAGTAACATAAATACAGAACAGCAATTAAAATACATAATGCAGAACTCTATCTGTGAAATTCAGAAGACACTTTAACACGGGACACTATTTATTGCTTAATATTGGGGCATTTGCCTTTTACTCCATGTTCTAAAACATGAGGGCCCAAATTGAGTCAACTCAAAATGAAACAATGTAGCAGAAACATCCAGAGGCTAAGGCACCACAAAACTAGTAGACTGCTCACAACTTCAGGGCAACCATTTGAATATTTTGTTATAACAATTAATACTACTACATAATCCACTTGTCCCTCTGACACACTGAGTTCACCCTGAGCAGTGTTGCACAGACTGACTTCAGGCTTACAGCAGTGTCTAGGGAACAAGACCCTTCTTGCTGACATCCTGGCAGACACCCAACTACAGGGCATCGTGACAGATCAAGGGCACACCGTGATCAATTCCAAGTTTACTTAAGGCAGGCAAATGTCAAAGACTGTGCTGTTGTTCATGAGACACATGCTCTCTAAGGCTCATTGCTCATCATTTTCTCACACAAGCATGCTTACATATAACAAAGAGAGGCTTGGGAGTTTGGAGACTGTGCAAATGGCCTGAAATTGGGATTCATCAGACAGAAGGCCCCAGAAAGGACCCAACATAACCTGTCTGAAATGTGGGCTGCGTCTGGGAGCAGCCAGCAGCATCTGACTGGCCCTGCAGGAAGATTTGGTGGTCTCTGAGTTAAGCAGTTCTAGCCACCACCACTGGCCACAGCCACCATTTCTGAGGTCTCATTTTCCAGCCTTGCTCTTCCCTTTTCTCCCTAACTCCCTGCTGCAGCTAGGGAGGAGGAGGCCACCATTACCAGCCAAGTGCTGCCTCTTCCTCTGGAGGAAGGCTGGCCCAGACTTCAAAACGTGAAGGTCAAGGTCACAGAAGAGTAAAAGCTGAGGGAGGGGATCTGGTCTTTTACAGGCAGAGGAAAGGAAGCGTGGGCTTCTCCAGTGTTTATCTCTGTACCCTGGAACAAACACTTAGGTGACTTGGGATGTGTAAAAGAGAGCAAAACATGTCAAATCTATTATGTTAGTGAAGGACTGGCAGAGCTTCTCGTAACTGTATTTAGCTGGCATATACATAGACACAAAAAGAGTGAAAACAGAGGTGCCCTATAAAAGTTACCCTATCAAAACAATAAATAAATAAAAAGCCATGTCAGGTATAGT